TATATATATATCTATCTAGAATTTTATTTCGAATATCGAATCAAAATATAAATTAAAAAAATAATATTAAAAATAATAAAAAATAAAGATTACAGATAATAATAAAATTAAGAATTTTAAGATTAATATATAGACTCTCCTAGAAAAGAAACTAAAGAAGAATAATAAATAGATTAATGAATAAGAATGAAAATAAAATTAGAAAATTTGATTATAATATATTTTAATAATCTTATCCTCGACCGACTCTAATATTTATTAAAATCTAAAAATCAAATCTAATAAGAAAATAAATCTAGAAATATCTAATTTATCAAAATTATTTATTCATATACAGTAAATATCTTTATTCATTAATATTATATATTTTTAGTTGAATAATATATATTCACCCAATTGCGATCCTATAGTATTTATTTTTCTTAATATATGGTTATTGCTGTGAAAATTTATAACCATTAAATCTTCGAATCTATCAATAATTCTATATTTACGCCTCCCCCCCTGATATAGCAATTCATCTTAAATCTTCTCCTCCTAAATATTATTTTGATTCGTGGGTTCAGAAGCCCAACAAAAGCATAAAATAGTACCCGGGCTCGCCAGGAGACGAAGACATATCATATCCTCTATAGATACGTAGTACGACGCAACACACATCTTAAATAAATGATTGCAAGAACTCAGGACAATGCAACAAGAGCGCGTCAGGAGCAGTTACTGTAGAGAAGCCAGAAGCAATCTTCGGCTCCTCTGCTCAATGGCCATGTTTCCACCCCAACCTCAACGTTCATTTGCACAAACGAGGGTGCAGGCAACGACTGCACATGCACAAACTTTGGACAACGAGCTGGCACGCCGGGAACCAAGCTCAAGCTGCGGATTCCAATACGCAGTGGTTGCACCCGGATACCGTCAAGAATTGAAGCGTTCCTGATGTGGTTTTGCTGTCGTTGCTACATTGCACAATATGGTCTCTGCGAGGGTGTTGACGCCGTGTGTGACATCTGGAACTTCAACGGCGACATGATCTTCCCAGAATGTTGCCAAAAATGGCGATCGCTGTTTGAGGGGGCGTGTGGATCCGCGAACATTCGGGAGGGAGGGATCAAGCCTCGCAGTATAGAACGTATCCCGGGTGAACAGATGATGGCAGCATAGGCAATGCGTAAAGTCTGACATAGCTAAATACGCCAAAACAGCTCGTCATCCGTGAGTGAAGGGCTGCCTCAACAATGCCTCAGCCCAAGACATTCTCTTCTTTTTCCCACTCGAGGCTTTATGCGCCAGAAGGGAACAGAAGGCGTGTTCCTCGAGGAATCGGCGTGCAGGTCATGATGCTTTGTCAACGGTTCTGCAGTGCTCTACCTGAAGCTTCTAAGGCAGCGTGGCAAGAGTTTGGCTCATGGACTCATGGAGTCAAGATCGTATTCTTACACCACCTTGGCGCAGCAGCGCCTTGTGGTAGTTTCACCCGCTCCGGGAAGTTCTTCTCGACGAACTCTCGCAGGCGTGACCTTGGGCACTACACAGCTCGCGAGCCTTGAACAGGCTGCTCAAGGTTCATTCAGCCGACGACCAAACAATCATCCGGCGACGTGTGTGGACATGTGTCGGTGCGACGCCCGCAATCAACGAAATCTTTGCATACTCAGGGTGCAGCCCTGAGATTTGGTCCCCAGCATTCTCGTCGACATACCTGCGTAGCACTCTGTGACTGGAGTGATATTGTATGATATTGTAGACTAAATGTTCATATTATAGATCATGCTTTATATCATATTGTATATTATCATAAATATATATATATATACATACATACATACATATTATATATATATACCACTATATATATATATAATGCCATATATTACTATTTCTGTATAAGACATAAAACAATACATTCTAGTATATATTACATGATTTGTACTATATATTGGCATCACCTGTTAAGTACTCTGTTTTATGATGTCGAAGTGATGCGTTTGGGCTCCGACTCCGACATTGGTACGAGCACTTCTCGACACTTCGGAGCTCAAGGGCAGGGAAGTACGAGCACTTCTCGACACTTCGGAACTCAAGGGCAGGGAATAAAACTATGATACACATAATATGGCTTACTATAGTATGCAAAGCTTTTTTGGAGTAGTATAGTACCAAGCTACCAGTAGGAAACATTAGTAGATTGTAGGCATGACACGGAATGTTGCGGAATGTTTGATTGCGCTACGTCTGGGTGAGGCTCCTGTAAGTAGGCGCCACTCCTACATCCGAAGAGATATATCTACCCGCATGCTGTCAGCATTTGGATGGCTGCTTTGCGCAGAATCCCGAAAGCTCTGCACTGCCTGCGGGGACTGTACTCACCGCCGGCGGCTTTGGTCAGCAGTCGTTGAGCACTCTGCTTGATGTCAGTCGCATCCTTGTCTCGAGATTGCAGATGCTCGCAGACTCCCTGACACTTACTGCGCGATTGTCTCCCTTCCCTCTGTAGTCAAGCTCAGAACTTTGAAACCAGTGCGCTTGAGGCTGTCTGTTCCTAGCCCAAGCATTGCTGGCAAGCGACGCTGAAGAACTCACCTGAGCTGAACATCACTCTGAGACATCGTAGTCCAGCCATTTCGCGCCAGCCATTCTCCCATCCGTCTGGACTCGCGAAGTGCAAAGTCCCTGGAAGCACTACTGACCTAATCAATCACCGTGAACATCCCTCAGCTTCGGAGGCTGCGATCTGAGTCAGTCAGTCGGGAGTCCGGTGGTCTCCGTCAGGTATTTCCAGCCACCTCGCGCAACTGAAATTTGGTCTCAGAACTGCAAGCACAGCCATGGACAGTGACTACTGGCTGAGTCTGTCCAGCAGCAGCATACTGTCGCCCCAATTATGTCGCCTTTACGAAATGGTGATGGGGAGACTCGTGGGATAACCGCATATTCAATCCAAGTCTACGACTTGCGGTGTCCCCGGTCCGAAATGATGGATGTGCTGTCATGCTCTTCTAGAGTCTAACATCACGCATATGAGCCACTGGGGGTTGGGCATCTCAGATCATGTGCTTCAAGCGTTGCCAGGTATCTGCGCAACAATACGCCAACTCAAGCGTGAAGGCATCACTTGTGATTTCTCCGTCTCGATCCGCCTATGAGGTTCCTGTTCATCAGCAAGGGCCTCAGATCAATGTGTGCAGTATGACCATGCATTCCAGATTCGAGACTTGTCCTTCTCGTATCAGCCGAGGCCATGCGTGCGTGACACGCACACACACACAAGCCTACTGCACACGGTGTTCTCTCGTAACACTTGCCTCTGCGCTCCCATATTATTTTTCTTGGAACTTGTTAGCATAGCAATTCAACAAAGCCTTATGCTGATCTTGCTTCCGTACCCTTTGGCCGAAGCGCACATCGAGCGCCAGGGCCTGGGTGATGACTCGAGGAGAGGCATCGTGTACTTGTGGTAGGAAGAGGAACCGACTCTGCTTCCTTAACAGGCGGCTGCAGAGGGCTCGTATCCACAGTGTGCTTCCGTTCTATCCGAATGCCGAGCGAAGATAGGTGCCATGCCATGCAAGAGACTGGGCATGCTGTGTGCTGCACTGGGACGGTACTTGTGAAAAACAGGTCCCACAGGCACAGCACGCAAAACAAAAGCTTTCAGTCAAGCTTCACATATGCGAAGAACTCATCCTGGGACAAGAATGTCGTCTGCGTAATCAAACCTTCGTATGCTGAGAACACTTTCAGTGCAATTTCATTTCTCACCATGCCATCCATGAAAGAAGTGGAAGGAGAATTGCAGCATGGATGCCCTTGCAGCTTGCGGGTATGCTGCAGGCTTTGGTGCCTGCCAGTAGAAATGAAAGGGATGGAAGGAGACTTCAAGATTCCATCCTAAGCAAGCTGCTTTTAGCGAGAACCTGGCTGCGGCGGCTGCTGCTGCTGCTGCTCTGGTTTCTCACTTCAGCTTGGACTGTGTTTTCCATGGTTGCGACTCTTCGGGCAGGTTTTCGATGTCCTCGTCCAAAGACTGTCGCACCTGTTTGAATCCATTACAGCCGATCGCACCGGCTTGGCTGCTTGTTGCGTCTCTGCAGCTTGCCACCTTCAAAAGCCTTTCCTCCAGCACCACGGCTGTCTGGTGGGCAACCGGCTCTGACCTTTTGCATCTGTGGATTGTGGATCGCGCGGCTCGGGGGCCAGCTCTACTCTGTACTCTTTCAACTGCTGAGTCTCCTTCTTCGTTGCGGCACTCTTCAGCCTGTCGCCGCACTTGCTGATCCTGTGTGTGTGTGTGTGTCCTCTGTGTGTGTGTGTGACCCTAACGACATTGCTCGGGCAAAAGCACAGTCAGCATCAAACATATCGTCACTCAGAACGCCCATCTTCAAGTTCTGCGCAGGTTTACCAGACTCAATGGCCTAGTTGACGAGCGAATGCACAGAGAGAAGGGAATCTAAGCCGATGCCATGAAGTCAGGGAAAAGCTGTCACAACCACAGGTAGGGAGACGGGTATGCAGCATCTGGTACGGATTCAAATCTCCGGAACACTCGCGAACCTCTAGTCAGACTCTAGCCTCTAGCACCACCAACTTTAGGAGGCACAGCGAACCCGCGGCGGTCAGCAATCTCCTTTTGCCGTTTCTAGGATTCATGAGTTGCCAACTGGCGGAGACTCCGTATCTAGCAACGTCTCTCTTCTCTGGCACGACTTCTTTTGAGATGCCAGGAATAGCACGAGGACGAGGCTCATGATGACAGTGTCTGAACGGAAAAGAATTAAGCCACCATTTGGCAGATCCATGAGCCAGCCACCGAGCACGGCTCCGAATGCGGAGCCGCAGGCTGTGATCGAAGACATGAAGCCTTGAGCCGTGGATATCATGTGCATCGGAACATGTTCGTTCAAGTAATGCACAGTTGCGAGGGTGAAGCAGCTGTAGGTGACACCATGTAGCGGCTCCAGCAACAGCAGCCAAGCAGCTCCAGGGACAATGGTATATCCCAGCACACGCACAACAAAGCTAGCCATGGCTATGGCAATGAGAACCGTTGGCCCCAGCTTCGGCACGATCTTCTCACTAACTGCAAAAATGGGAATCTCGAAGAGAACGGTCACTGTGACGCTGAAGCCCATCAGGATGTCGGTTGAGTGGAAACGCTCTTGCATGTACAGGAAGAGGAACTGGAACACGTGCTGCATGCCCATGGCCTGTGTGGCTGCGCACAGAAGCCATGTAATCATCTCGGGCCTGGAATAGAGGATTTGTAAAAGTGCACGCAGCGAGGCTTGCTGCCTGGGTTGGGCCCCCCCTTCCGCTCCACCTGCGTCGGAATCGCCTTGGCAACGGCCGCCGTCGGAGTGCTGGCTTGCAGAACTCTCATCGGTCCATCGACCTTGTAGAAGAAGCGAGAAGCAGGCTACGGCCAACAGTGCACTTAATGCATTGCCGATGAAGAGCATCTGCAGCTGGCCATGCTCCACGTCCAAAAGCCAGCCCAGGACTGGATGGGCGATGCCCCAAGACACAGCTCCCCAAAGGCGAAGGTTGCCATAAGCTCCCTGACGATTGAACCTCTCCAGTGTTCTCATGGTGATTCCTCGAAGCTGGCCATAATCGTTGCCACGCGCAGCCGTGTAACAAACCATCATTGTGCAGCAGTACATGAATCGATAAGTGTGGTCCTGAATGTAAGGAGCTAAACACAGCAACGTTTGGAAGGTCGTGGCCATACCCAAGCAGCAAGCCAGGACGAGCTTCCTACGGCCGCTACGGTCTGCAACAAGGCCCCAAAAGGAGGAGGCAGGGATGCTTGCCAGAATGCTCAGAAGGCCAATCACCCCAATCTCGCGACCATCCAAGCCATAATGCGTATAGATGAGAACCGCGAAACGTGCAAAAAAACTGTAATACCTAAGCTTGTCGAAAACCAGATTGAGAGCTATATTTGTTGAGGTTTGTTTCCAAGACAAATACAGATGCTCAACTTCTTTTGTGCAGCTGAAACGCAAAAAGAGGCAGAAGAAACTTGCGGAAATGCCGAAAAAGGCCGGTCGATGATCTTCTTGTGGCGGCACCACTTCGACGCCAGTCATTGGTATGCAGCCATGCAATCGCTTGAGAAGTACTGCCCGAGCGTAGGTACAACACAGGTTCACACTGGCTAGATTGTGCAATGAAGACCATGGAGTGCAAGCCTGACATGCAGTTAAAGTGCCATCATGTCATCGACATGCTTCCGCTGATGAAAAGCCTTCTGCATCTACTCTTCTGGAGAATATCCAGCCAAAAGGAGCTGCCGTCAAACGCGAAACGGGGCTCATAGATAGCATGCACAAAAGCTGTTCGTGCCAGAACAGCTGCCGAGCTCTCGCCTCCAAGCACTCAGTGTGGGATTACTGCAACCACGCTTGTTCCTTTTACGCAGGATGCTCGAGGCTGCAATAGTTCGACTGGTATTCGGAGTTTCCCAATGACCCCATCGAAGATTCATCTGGCTTACCCGCCTGAAGCATCTGAAGACACATGTAACATGCCGAGCATCCTGCCTGGCTTATTCTTCGTGGCCACGAGGACACCAGTCATGCGCTCTCCGCACATCACCTCTAGTGCCTGGGTGGGTCTAGCAGTCTAGCAAGCCACGTCGAGCGGTCCAGTGTGATTTGATGGCTCCTTTCTTTGAAGCGTGAACGCAGTGCCAAGCTCCCAAGCTTCTGACAGGACACAACACCAACATGATTTCCGAATCTGTTCAACCTTCGCCAATATGCAGAACATGATGCTCAAAAGTGCCCCTCCCAGCCGTAATTTGCACGCATAACCCACAGCACATCCAAGTAACCAGGTCGATGCCTCAGCACTTACACCCCTCGTGTGGACTGTTGAAGGCAACGCCTCCTTGGCAAAGGTCCAATTCTTCGCGAAGGAGGACCAGCCGACACAATCCTCACAATGGGCAAAGTTGTGCGAAAGCCGGTCTTTTAAATGCTTCAAGGGCAACCAGGATCTGCCGACTTCCACGGAACGTTGTGATGCCAGGTGCCTGGTTCCTCTCTACGTTTTTTTGGGTTCTGGCATTGTGCTTCAACTCCGAATTTTTCGAGTGCTTTGCCTGCGACGCATGTCATGGCATGCTGCAGAGAGCAAGGCAGGAACCCTGTGGCAACTGCCGCGAACTCACGACTTCCTTCAGGACGTGCTGGCGGCATACTGGGCCCAAGAAACATGTGTTGCAACAGCCTGCATGGGTTCATGCATCTCGGAGTGACTTCGTAGTGCAAAACAGGAAGATGCAGTCATTCCCTCAAACTTAACACGCCTTCGTGAGCAAGGCATGTCGAACCGGACATCCCGAAAAGGCTCTCTTATAAAATTCCATGGATTCTCCATGCAAGATGCTCAGTGATTTGGTGCGGACGTTTCGCGGAACCTCACCGGCGATTTTGCAGGGACACACGAACTGTCGAGCATCTGAGTTTCACAGCGTCTCCACACGATACGATTTCTCCAAGCCATCTGAATGAAAGCTGCCTCCAACACTGAACACGGAAAAGTGTGCTGTCCCCTCTGCGTACCATCAACGACGCGCCTTGCAATAACAGAAGGCCGACAACACGTTGCTTCTTGCTTCGTGGCCAACTGCTTACTGGGTTATGTATACCTCAGTAAATCACAAATACATACAGACATTACACTACATTACACTACATTACATTACATTACATTACATTACATTACATTACATTACATTACATTACATTACATTACATTACATTACATTACATTACGATACATTACATTACAATACATTACATTACATTACACTACANNTTACATTACGTTACATTACGTTACATACATACACACGTGCACTGTACTACGAGCAGATAAACGAACGCGGTGTTCACAGTTGTTGCTGGCAATAATGTTGTTGGCTTTTGGTGGTGACGTTACTGTTGCTGCCTGGCTGAGTTGCGACAACAGTTCTTGATGTGTCTGTCGCTGCTATCGATAATGCATGCAGGTCCAAAGCAGGTTTTTTTGCCAGAGCATTTCAAGGAGAGAGCCATCTGGTGTTCTCTGAACATTCAAAGCTCCGTGCATCAGCTGAGGCAGCCTAGCAGTGTGTCACAGTTTGAATATAGTGCATTTGGTCGCCACTATCAGTCTTAGGTCTTCTCTGGTGTGTTGCGGGTTGCCTTGTCCCAAGCAGGAGGAGATCATGTCCAATGTGGAGAAGGCTGGTAGTTTCTACCCCACTACTACTTCTCAAACCAACTAGGAAAAGCCAACTCCAAGCTTAAGTTGCGGTTCGGTTCCAATCCTTGGAAGCACAGTCCTGGTCCACATCTTGGTCGGATCCAGAAAAAGTAAAGTCGTACTTCTTCGGGACGGCCTGGCCGGATCACTTCCTCTTCCAGGCGCTTCGAGGCCTCTTGGCCCAGTACGTACTGGTTTGAAGCAGAGGTGCGGCCAGCAGCTGGATACTCGGTTGGTGATACCACCATTTTCCACGGAAAGTATTAAGGACTCTATGTCAGCCAAAGCTTACATGATGCGCCGCGCATGTGGTGAGCATGCAGCAGAAAAGCACTGAGTTTCCTTACCCATGCCCCAAACACTTGGACGCAACAAGAGATGGCATACAAAAGTTAGCAGTCAGCATATTGGAGGAATGAGAGCCGTGAATACCCCTGGTACAGAACCACTCCTTGCGACGATCGAGTCGGGACACATGTACGCACGGTCACACCAAGCGTGATGTGACAGAAACCCTCCATATGAGACGCATGGCAGCAGTGAGCAAACGTAGAATACTAGGTTTGAAGAAGTACACCAGACCCGATATCCAGAAAGTTGGTGAAGATCCTGACCCGTTTGCCGTGATCGCAAATCCCTGCGAGAGAAGCGTAGCTCGATCCGGAGACCTGTTTGTAGCTTTAGGGGGGTTGTCAGAGGTGCAGAGCTTGGTGCACCCAAAAAAGGGAACGCACATGACAGCCTCGGGCACTGTCAGCTTCCAGGCCTTCCAGCGACCTCTTACCCACGCTCTAGCATTGTGACAGGCACCGGCCCGGGATCATGGGATGTACTAAAAACAAACAAGTATGAGATAAAGACGAGGGCAAATACAAGAACAAATACGAGAAAACTACGAGCGGAGTGTTCGACGTCCAAACCGAGTACAAGAAAAGTACAAAAATACGAGAAAACACGAGAAAACAAGTATCTTCTATTTCTCTCGTATCATTCTTATATTTATTTCTTGTATTCTCTCTTGTACATTGTGTAGTCGTTTTCACTTGTATTTATCTTGCATTTGCCTTGTATTCTCACTTGTACTTTTCTTGTATTCGTTTTGCAGAGCCATGGTCGTCTTGTATTTCTGCTCGTATTGTTCTTGCAACTTGCTCGTATGTTTCTTGTATTGTCTACTGCTGCTGGATTGGCTCTCGTATTTCCGCTTGTATTCCAGCTCGTATTCACTTCGTATCTGAATCGTAATTAAATGAGTTTTGATGCATGCCAGTCATTCCGGAACATGCCCCTCACAACTCTAGCATCCCTAGAAGCCAAAAGCCTGTGAGTCGACACCTTTAAGTTCTGAAGTGTACGCTGGCGCAGACCTGCGCTGGACCAGGCAGAGCGAAGTCTGATTGTGACAGCAGCAGGAGCTTGACATGGCTTGGGAAGAGCTTCTCCTTACTGGACTGCACTGGAGGCTTCCTTCGCAAAGACGGCCGAATACACAGAGTGAGCACCGTGTGAACATCTTTTTCCTTCCTAAAGCTGAGCGTGCACCGCAAACAAGTAAGCTCCTATAGCATGTCCAGGTCGAAAGCATCCGTGCACATAGGAAATCTCGGATATCAAGTACGTAGCCGGATGGTGCAGAATATGTCCGACGACCTGGTCTGATTGCCCAGTCGCTGGTTCTCGATGCATGTAGAGAAAGCCAGGAAACAGGCCCACAAACTTGTCTTTCCTCGCTACGGACGTGTTAGCTTGGTAGGTACCACGCGCCGGTAGGAGATACAGAGACTGACATCGACTTCGCTTCACTCAAAGTGACGAATAAAGTGCTCGGCAGTTCATGCACAGTTTCAACTCAGCACCCTGTATGCTGACTCTTAACTCGACAGTCAGCACACACACACACACAACCGAGACAAGTTCCAATATTTGCGTAGGTCTTCCCAACACCACGAGAAGTTGAGAAGTGCACATCTTCAGTGACACATGGAACTGTGTTCAGAAGCAAGACGAAACCGATATAATATACATACATATATATATATATATATAACTTGAACAAGCAAATGAATGAGTACATACATTTATGTATATCTATATATGAAGACATATGTATGTATATATATATATATCTATAGATATGCAAGTATTAATTAATCGCAGCCGTCTTTCAGAAACACAGAAGCAGGCTTCCGCACTGTGCAAGGAATACTCGTATCAGAAACAGAAAGGCCACTAAAAACATCGGAAAGCAACATGCTTGGTTTGGTTTAGCCGTCATCGTTGCACCCCTTATGCAACGAACATTTCGTACAAGTCACAAGCAAGTAGTCTTTTCTGAGGAGGCACATTGAGCCATTAGGCCCGGAAAGATCGGATCATCTAGAATGTTTTCGACTCCAAGCACTTGCCTCAGGAATCTCATTCAATCTGCTCGTGGGAACACACGTATGGCATAGTTATTGCCCTTTTGAAACAAAACACAGCATGGAAATTCGGGCTTCAAGGATAAACCGTTTCGCGATTGGGTTTCAGGATTTCGGAGGGTAGGGAAGGTGCCTCTTCGACTGGAGGGTGCGGCGCATCAGCGTTGTTTCTGCGAGGTTTCTTCGACAGCTCCAAGTGGCGGAAAGGACTCCGAGAACGGGTTTGGTGCCGGCAGCGGGAAGTCCTCCAGTTCAGAGGATTTGGCTTGCAGTGTGAAAGCGCCCACCGCGCAGCGAATGATCTGCAGAGGATCTGTGGATTCCCATAGCCATAGTTCTCTAGACAGCGAAACTCTTTCTTCAGTTTGCACCAGCCTGTCCTCCCAACTGCTGATGCCCATAAACAGAATCTCGTTCTTGAACTGCTGAAACAGCTTCCTTGGACATGAGAGCCCCGCTGAGAGACTGTAGGAGTGGCCCCATGATGCCGCAGAGGAGGCCTTGCAGGTACTCGTAGCAAGGCTTTGCAGGGCCAATGGTGCGAGCCATGCAAGGCACGAGAGTCATTTCTTGTACTGCTGCCCCATTCATCACTCTTCTGGCCCCGGGCGCTCCTGCCGCTTTGTTCTGAAAGGCGAGCGGACAAGGATGATGTTCACCTTGCAGGTCATCAGGCTGCTGCCCACAACGTTGGAGAACATCCTGCTTCAAGCCATCCCGTGAATTACGGACAAGCTGACGATGGACAAAAGCAGCACTCCGACACGATGCGACCCACTGCTTCCGGCTTGTGACATGCTTGTGTTCAGTCTGAATGGCTGCATGGCATTGGATCTCTAGTCGTCTGGCTTCGGCTTTTTTGCTGCCGTGTGCACCTCCGGAAAGAAAGACATCAACATGATTTGGGCGAAGCTGCGAAGTCTCCCCGCTCGTTGCGCACGGGCTGAAACGGATACCTTGGAACATGGAACCTAGACATCCTGAAATACATCAGATCCTCCCTGAGAGAGTCTGAGTATACTGCCGAGGAGAAGAAGCAGAGAAGGCAGATCGAGCTGGGACCATGCGCTGCAGTGGGCGTGTTTGCATTGACGAACCGCATCTGAACGTTTTCGATTGAGTCGAGAGGTGTGTATACTTTTAAAGAGAGAAGTGAGATCCAGTCGCCAGCTTTCCCGACTTCTTTCCACGCCTCCCGAAAGCTCAGATATCGTCGGAGGTTCCTGCGAGAATGTCCAGATCTCTACCGACATCTCTGTTTCGTCGTCATCGCTTGCCCCGACTCAAGCGCTTGTAGTTAAGACCCTCGGTCCATCAGCCGAAGCAAATGATCACTAAGCTACAGGCACAGTACGCAACAGGTAGACATAGAAGGCATAAAGTAAATACATCATGGATATGTTCTGGCGTTTGAGGCTGGCTTTGCAGAGATTGCAAGCGGGCGGCTCTTGAATCAACGCCTTGTAATTGGGGTGAAGTGTGGCAGACACTTCCCGCACTGGTCGCGCTGGAGGTGCTCTCCTCAAGGAACTCACTACACCGCTGAACGAGGACGAGCAGGGACATCTTGCTCGAGTGCCTTTCCGAGAGAGTCTGCCTCCACAAGAGAGCCCCTGCAAGGCCAAGTTTCTGCTGCGGCACGAAGCAGTGAGTCGCAGAATCGTGCTTCCTGTCAGGACACAATGGTAGGCCATGCAGGCTTGAACAAAGCCTCGAAGATTTCAGCAATCTTGCGGGAAGCCGTGTTTTCACAGGCCTGGTCCCCGAACCTCGTGGAGCTGACTCTCCAGCCCCCCAGCCCCACCAGTCGAAGCCAGGAACGGATTGGAAGAGCGAGCCGGCCGGAAACCTGGGCAGCCAACCACAGTATCTGTCAGTGCTTGAGCTTTCAGCATTCAAGAAAGGCGGAGTTCCAGAGTAAGAGATGGAAACACACGTGCGCGCCCGCACAGAAATGTACCTCTACAATCCGCATACATACATATATACATACATACAAACAAACAACTATACACATATGAACACATATATATATATATGATCACATGCTATATATATATATATACATGTACATGTATATATATATATATGTATATTTACATATATACAGATTATACTTGTGTGCATGTGTATTGTGGGCTTGCAGAGGTAAATGTACAAGTATACTAGTGAGGTAAACATATACCAATATATGTATATACATAAACAAATAAATAAATAAAAAAAATATATATATATATATACATACATGGTGTTCTCTACACACACATATATATATATACACATACACATAGACACTGATATCTGTATACATGTATACATCTATACGAAAGTAGATGCACATGTGTACACATGGGTAGACATGGTGGCTTCTAGGACGTGTTGGTGCTTTTAGCTTTGTGCCCGTCGCCGTGTGTGTGTGTGTTTCTGTTTACCGTGTCTTTGTGTGCGCGTGCATACACACATACACACACACAAATATAATGTATATACATATATATATATATATGCATACACATATGTGTTTATCTGCCTACATTTACATATGTACAGGTGTGTATGTAAGTATACACACGCACAGGTGGAGAGATGTTTTATGCTTGCACATACACACACACACACACATATATATATATATACACTCATAATACATATACGTGAGTGTATATATAGCGTATATATTATTCACATACGCACAGTCTGTACTTGTGCATGAACGTGGATATCTGAAAGCACATGTGGATTTATATGCAGGCCTAGACACAGGCAAGCCATCATCAACTTGTCCAGCCGTCCGTGCGTTTGTGCATGTCTGTGAGAAGAGTTGTTCTCGACATGAGTGGGAGAGCACACACCACCCGAACAGAAACAAAAGGAACGGAGCGCAACTAATGATCAGCTCCTGTGAAATGTGATGCTCTGTGTAGTCTGCACTGCAGAGAGTGCTTCCAGCAATTGTGTGGCCATGTCACAGCATACGTACAGTAATAAAGCCATGCATGGACCAAGACCAAGGTGAAGTCCAGTCTGCATGTGTCATTAATCATTACACTTTCGAGCTGAAGTTTGCTTGCTTAATCTTCTGGCAAATGTACTGGCAAGACACACGAAAGCGGATACACATGTTGCCCGAACACAGCCGGCTCGTCGCGCTGCTCAAAGGAAAGACTTTAACCTGCTCATCGCTAGATTGCTAGATGTGCTGTGCAGCCGTATATCGCAGCCACCGTCAGCAGTGGAGAAGTCTAAAGCAACACTCTCCGGGTCCGACATGGCCACGTCAGCGCATTCCTGGACGGAGTCTGCAAGTCGGTCATTCTGTCGCGAGCGACCGAAGGTTCTTTCGAAGCTCTTTCCACGCGAGTGGGAAGGACATGCTCGAAGAAACGCACGAGATCCTGTGAGTGGGCGGCGACCGGAAGCTTTCCTGGTTTGCACCCAAGTTACCGGAATGTGGTACAATGTGGGGGTGTGACACGCTTTGGGTTCATGTCCTGCTTCTCATCGGAACGGAAAGGAAGAGAAAGCCTACTGACATGTCATGGACCAGGCTTGCAGGCCTTCTAGACCAGACGGCTCACAATACACTCAAGAAGCACTGTCAGCAGCTGGTCGGTCGCTTGAAAACTGTTCTCACGAACCGCCTGCAGCCTGCAAGATCCCACAACCACACCCGCTAAGCTACCTCGATCTCCTCTTACTTGAAAGTCGTATCAGGGCGCTTTAACGGGGACCTGCATGTTGCTTCACGGCTACGCAGGCAGAACAACATCTACGACTGTCTTGAAGGCTTTCCGGTCCACGAACTGCAAAAAAGTCCTGAAGAGTCTTCCCGACGGCGTGCAAGGAGTTGAACCTAATGGCGCCAAGATGTTTCCGCTATGATGCCGTGGCCGCTGCATGCATCGTTGTGCTGCAAACCAACGACACTGAAATCCACCTTCAAATCCCTGAGTTGAAATTCTTTCTGTCAGGCTACGACTACGAGGGCAAGAACATGCCTTTTAAATTCTGGTGACTTGAGAATCGCAAGACGAATACCGCGGAGCTCTTGGTGGGTCTTGCCATCTTCGCAGTACCCTTCGCCAGCAGAGAGCCAGCCCGCTGGAGCTGGCAGAGGGGTGGAGGGCTCCTTAGTCTCTACCTTAGCGAAGCAGAGCAAAGGAGTAACATTCCGCGTCTAAATTCTGCAGGGTTTAAAGGTAACAACGGTAACAAGCTACCATGCGATGTCAATGCATCTGTATCACTCTCTTAGCAGGATATTCAATGTGTACCGTATACCCAAAACAAACCATCATCCAGGTAACTGAGTATTTTCTGGCTGCCCCAGGGCACCTGTGAGATTCTGATCTCCCGCGATGCGCTTGAAAGCAACTAACCTAACGAAGAGTGAGCCGTGTTTTTGTCGCTAACCAGCGCCGCCGGGGGGCTGCACCGCGGAGGTTAGCAGAGGAAACATCTGCTTCAAGATTTCCCGAAGCTTGGGAAGCTTGCCTGGATCTGGATGACCACACATGGACAGCATCAAACGCATGTGAATGCAAAATCCAGAATTACGACAGCCCGCCGATCATTAAAAGCTTTTGGCAGCCCAGCAACGTGGCGACCACGGGGCCAGCTATGCCCCTCGCTCGGAGGACGTTCTGCCAACGCTTTGACAGCCACTCCTCGACCTCATTCCTCATCTCCGGCCAAAACCCAAATCGCACGTCCATAACATGGATTCTGCACTTGTTGACTCGACGCTTCCGCTGCTAGGACAAGACTAGGGTCGGCTTCGGCAACGTGGTCCCGAAGAGGGATGGCCAAATGACGACCGCCAAAACCTCGGACTACAAATTCTGCGGGTTCACCCGACGCTGATGCCAATGCGGCATTTGGAACATGTATGACTGGATACCCGCAGAACCAGTCCACCCCCCTGGGTCCATGCAACCATGTTCTTACGGTATCAGACTCGCCGCCGCAGAGCTTGGAGCTGCTACACATCTAACGGCTGGCTTCCCTCGGCCATCTGCAAGCAGGGTGGCCAAAGTGCTGATTTGCGCAACCAGCACCAGCAGAGGGAAGTTGCGCGGGCACTGGCAGGTCTCCTCAAGCCTCAGGAATCTAGCAGCAATTTGGTACGTACCCGACCGACGTGCTTTCGCCAGCAATTGCTGGGCGGACGCTTTTGATGCTTTGGACATTTTCATGGCAGGGATCTCCAATACAACTCAGGCATTACTTACAAAGCCCTCCTGACTTCTGGACGCTGAATGCTTGCGAATGAACCGGAGCACGTACCCAGAATGCTTACCACAAGTGTAGCGAAATCTACCAGCAATTTCTCGCGCATGCAGTGCTGTCCCACTCTCAGACCATGAGGCAGTTACGTCTCTAGTACGCACGGTACTCAGTCAAACAACAAGACCTGCCTGACTGCTGAAAAGTTTCTCCAATCTCTGCACATCCCAACCCAAGCACACTGCCTGTTGTCGGGTAGTGTGATTAGCTGACGAGTTTGAAACCCTGTGCACCGCGACAAGGTTCTGATGAGACGCTTGACTATCAAACGCAGTCGATCCACTTAAGCAGATCGCCTGCACCTTTATTCCCTTCTCTTTCTGCCAAACTAACCCTGCGACAAGTCTTGACTTGCACATACTGCATGTTGTTACGTCTATGCGGGAGAGACCACGATTTGAGTGTCGGGGCCTGAAGATAAATTCTCTGTACTTTGCCGAAGAGTCACACACATCCGATTACGGATAGGCTTGCAATCATCAACAGGAGCGCAGCAGTGGCAAACATGTGCTCCTTGGAGTTCGGGCAGCATAAGCGCAGCTTCTGTCTTATCCAAGGCTCTGAGGGTCGAGTGAATCCGGCCTCTAGGATCCCCCCACGGTTTGGAGCTTGGGGGAATGTGAAAAACAGCTGATGTAGGAAAGTTGGTTTAAAGCCCAAGCCAGGGCTGGCGCTCAGGATGGCATACCGAAACGCTGGTTTTGCAGGGGAGCCTCGTATGAGACCCAGCACAACCAAAAACGAAAGAATGCTAAAGCTCGATTCAACTTTCGGAAATGTCTTCAGACCCGCACAACCTATGCCCTGAACTCGCAACTATACCACCAGAAACTGAAAGCTGCTCGGCCCTGCCTAGCCGGTTGAAAGGCTGTGTTTAGGCGGGTTCTGGGCCTGGGGGGTTTGATTTAGGCTCGGGGCTTCAAAGTTTCAGGGTGTAAGGGGTTTTCGGGTATTTTGAGCTCTGAGAGCATTGGGGCTTGAGGATGTCAAGGTTGGGGGAGGGTTTGCTCCGGAGAAGAGAGTAGGAGTGAAACATGCTGCGTCTATGTGGCACGCATGACCATGGTGCCTATGCAATTAATGTAGGGGCCTTGAGATTGAAAATCAGATTGGGGTTTTGGGGTACAAGTCATACAGCTACAAGCGAGAACTCTGAGGAAGAAGACTACTGATCGGCGCTCTCTATTGGATCATGCCGGGCCCCCAAACTCTCGAGGCACGTTTGGGCGCGCCACGCCTTTAACACCCTCCCGGCCCTCGCCCTGCGCACCCTCAAAGCCCTCATTGCCTCAGCGTGCCCTCAGAGACCCTGCATGGAGACCCTCTCAGCATGTGGCATTGTTGTAATAGGACAATGCGGACTGCGAAACTTCAGTGTCTATTTGACGCGCATCTTCGTGATGTTTCTGGAGCTGTTGAAGGCAGCGTTGCATCAACTAGCTCGCAAGTCTACATCACCCCCCCCTCCCCCCTCTCGCCCCATCGTGTCACCCTTGCCTGCCAAATGTTTCGGGTTTAGGGGGTGTAGGGGCCTGCGACCCGCAAGGATTCGATGCAGTGACTTTAACACGGCAGATGACCAGCTGACAACAAACCTCTCTCTTACTGCCAGAATGACTCTGGCCACGAATATTGCAGAACACTGGTGGGACTAAATGGTTCGTTGGACGAAGACATCGCCGACCAGCTGGCCAAGAGGCATCGGTGGACAGGGAGAGCTCTTGAGAAGCGGCATGGAGCAAGATTGGTGCCATTACCACGGAGACCATGGGCCCGATCCTGAGAGCGCATGATCATCATTACCACCACCACTACAGTACCACTGCCACGACCATCACCATCAGCGCCCTCATCTCTATCATCGTTCAGCACCATCATCAATGTAGAATCACTTCGCCTAACGGGCTCACAGCCTCAGTATTGCAAGCCACTTGGACATGCTGGCCCGTTCCGAATGCAGGCACGAGGTATTCGAACAGCTGAAATCCAGGAGTCGATTTCGGCCTCGAAAGACTGCTTCGAAAAGACTAAGTTGAATAAAGCAACAATCACCGAAAGCAAACAGACCGCAAAAAAAAACAAATCAATACTGGTGAACTCTGCACCAAGCCGGGAGAACTCTGGACAAGCTTCCAGAAAATCCACACTAGGCGCTTCGGTCGAGGCTTCTTCGGCGACTTCATCGCCATGGCGAGTTTAAACTTCTTGAACTGAACCTGATCTAAATAATACGGGTTTCGGCGCTAATGCTCGGACATTGATTTGGGCTCTGGGGGGGTTTGGCTTTAGTCGGGTGTGAGGCTTCATGGGGCTTTTGGCGCGCATGTCCCTCACTAAATCCCTCGGCGAAGCCATATCCATGTGCCACTGGTTCTGTATCTGCTGCTGAGGTGTTCGCAACAGTCAGAATTACTCGATGACTAACAATTTCGGCGCTGAGGAGCAAGGCCTCTGGAAAGAGAATGCTACAGCAAAGGCAAGAAACAAGATTCTCTAACCATCCCACCACTCGAATCACTCAAACCCCAACATCAACTCCGCAACAAAAGAGCATCCCCCGCACAATTAATGGTCTGGCCTCTCAATGTCTCGATAAAACTTCCCCTGTCAGCAAAGTCCCGATTTGCAACTTTCCGTAGAATGCCGAATGCTGCTGTTCGGAGCGGTTTTGCAAGCAGTATAGATTAGAGTTCCGACTTCCGGCACGTGAATTTGACAGTAGCACTTCTTCGTGCCAGCTGTGCAGGATGCTCCATCTCGAGCTTCAGGTCTCCGGCGAAGTCAACGCATCAAGTTCTGTCTTATAAACCCATGCCTTACTTCCCAAGACTCTTTATCAGCGAGACTTACGTGGTGGCGGGAGGCCTGCTTGCACGGCAAACTGGTATTGAATATAACCGCGACGATGACAATGACGACAAAACAAGCAATGAACAGAAGCAACGGGAGCGAGATGTGATGAGAGTACGCGAAAAGTAAAGCCACCAGATACGACGAGATATTGAATTGATGCTCAGAGCTTCGCTCTCTATTTCCAGCCACTATACATTTTGGGTGCCCAGCGCAAAGGACGACAGAAATGGGTCGAAACATGCAGCTTTTAGGATGTTGCTGGCATGCAGGATAATACAGAGTAAGAGTGTTAATTAAGTGCTATGGAAGCATGACTTGTGACTTGTGGATATTGCCGGCAATGTGAGCAGGTCTAGGTCCTGCTCCATTGCACGAGAAGGCCCAGACTCATCGCTCCTTGCTTGGTGTGCAAATTGCCGTCTGCTTCATCACCCTGGATTGCCTGGCACGTCAAGTTGCTGCATGTAGCCAGCCGGACATCGTGTCGGGTGCAAAGGTTCAGTGTGGTCCAGGAGAAGTGCGATTGCGCCTGATGCAGCCTGTCCGGTGGCGCTCAGCTTGGCGCTGGGATCGCGCAAGCTGCATGTGCATTCCACGGGTGCCAACAGCACAGTGTCATGGAGAGACAATGATGGTGTGGTTGTATCATTGCTACGTATATACTATATATTGCTATCATGCAAGGTGAAGTCCAGAAGGACTTCCGACAGAGGGTCCTGGCTACGAGCTTCACAAGGCAGTCCGCTGCTTGCCAGTCCACACAGGGTTTACATGCCCGGTGCCTCTCCATGCCTTGTGCTGCATGAACTGTGGAACGTACCAGTACAGAACCTTGCGTGGACCACGGGACATCGCAAGCACCACTGTGTTGCACAGCAGCCAAAAAGGAAATGACAAAGCGACCACTGCATGGCACGGAAGAACGGCATATCTCATATCACCTTTATCAAGATCACCAAAACTTCATGACTGTGATTGTAGACTTGCGACTACGGCCGAGTGTTTGAGCTTCGTTTCTCAGCATGATGCAGGCAGCCTGTCCCCTCAAACTAGACTTAGCCATCTGGGCTCCCCACCGCAAGGAAGGCATACATGCAACACAGGATGTAGCCTTTGAACCTTCGCCGCAGTCTGTGGCTTCTTCTTCTTCGGGTCATTCGAGGCTCACGTCATCCATCACCAGGATGGAGCAGAAACTCATGAAGCGACAGAGCAACGAATTATTCCTCAAAGTGCAGATTCGAAGCACTTCAACTCGAAAGGGAAAGAGTAGTTTGGCCTCCTGAAACATGTTCTCTGTGCTCCCAGTCTTTGCTCAGTGTCTTTCGTGAACAGCTGCACGTACTACCCATCGGCCTGAGTGTTTGCTAGTCTAGCAATGCTACTGCACAGCGACGACGGCGACGACCACCAACTACAACTACCTTTGTTCTTTTCCTCCTCCTCTATTCGATACTCAGACTATGAATGTGTGAAATAACGCTTGGGTAACATCAAGAACTTTGTCGGCATGACAATCACAAGGACCTCGTTGCAAGCCCAATTCCGAAATTCGAGGCAGCGGCCAATTGGATCGCCCATCCAGAAGAAGCGTCAGAACGACCAGAATGCAGAATGTGACAACCTACAATGTCAGCAACAAGCTGAGTTTACAAGCAAGTCTTGGCTGCGTCGGGGCCAGCTAAGCCCACTCAGCATATGACGAGCTATAGTGACATGATTCGACAGCGGAGGGTCAGCGAAGTGCAGAATTTCACTTTGACGAAGCCCTGCTGGATCCGTTACCACCAGCACAGGCGAAAACGGATGCAAATCCCGTACTGCTTTTCCCAGGACACACACGCAGAGATGCATCCAAATCTCGTTCTCGCAGGGTAGAGGAAGGGGGAGCGACCCCCTTCCCGGCGCTCCAGTCTCTCTCTCTCGATATTCTTATGCATCCACACACGACATATACATGTGTATATATATATATATATGTATGTGGTCCCGCGTCGCCACGTCATTGCACCCCCCTCCCACCCCACCCCGTCCCCCCATGGTATGCCCCACTTCAGCACACCCCTAATAACAGTCAAGCGAATGGTGGCAACAGAGCTAACATTGTTACAGTAATACTGCTGGCATCGCCAGCAACCGTTCTGCAAGTAGCAAGGTTAGCAATCGAAGCTGGTAAACTTAGCAACTTTAAAAAGGCGAAGAGTGTTGGGAGGTGCTGCGGGATTTCGCTCTGACATCATGCATGGCATGGGCGTTCTTTGGCAGAATCAACCAGCAACGTCTCCCTGGACATTTTCAACCGCATGAGAAATGCTAGCAACAATGTGGCACACCTTGTACTATCGGCTGTCTCACTGGCAAGAAAAGGGCATGCACTAGATTTGTGAAGCCCTATTGACATTGAATTATACTATATGACTGTGAAAAGAAAAAATGAAAAATGATGAGATAGAGAAGAAGCATGAAAATAATAATAAGAGCTGTTGTGACTATCGATCGCGGAGAAGTCATAGACATAACTGTTGCGGTTTGCGAATTTAAACGAAAAAGAAGTTTACAATTCATACTATGCATTAAACTAATAGTCTTTAAGATGGTGTTGACATCTCTTTTGAAGTAAAGATGATAAACATGATTTGATGCAAAGGAATTGTCTGCGTTACATCATTTGGGGGCAGCGTTTCCCTGGTAATATAACTGTCGAAGATGTAGCGGAAATTTTGGGCTTCATCAGACAGCATTTCAATGTGTTCTTTAATAATACCGAAACAGAACATTAGCGATACAGCAACATTCGAGAAGGGATATCATGATCTCCTAAAGATCTAGAAACTGGGCAGTCTTGAATATATCCTGTTGATTCCTGACCATGACACTGACCTTCATGAATCCAAGCTGGTAGCGTCCATGCTGAGCCAGCACTAGTACCATTGGTAATGCCCACCATAACATGAAGATTGCAATGTCAGCAACATCAGGAATGCCAGTGTCCTTACAGGCCGCGGTATGAGTACTTTCTACTGTTCGGAAGTGTTCTCGGTAAACGCATAGTTGTAAGACTACTCGTTCAACCAGTCATGCTCGCAATATTTTTGCGTCCTCAGCATCGTTGCCAATAGTATGAGCAACACCATCAGCACGTATCAAAATGGCATGGTAATGTCCCAGTTGAGTGAAAAACATCTGATCGACACTGATCGTTACAACGAAAGACAAGTGACAATGCGAAACTGTACACGCCGATATAATGAATTAATAGCATCTAACACAAACATGACAATACCATGAGAGGTGGTAGTAGCATGAGAGGTGGTAGCACCAGTTGTAGTAGGAAGTAGTCGTAGTAGTAGTAGTCGTAGTCGTAGTAGTAGTAGTAGTAGTAGTAGTAGTAGTAGTAGTAGTGGTGGTAGTAGTAGCAGTAGGAGTAACAGCAGTAGTAGTAGTAGTAGTAGTCGTCGCAGTAGCAGTAGTAGTAGCAGCGGTGGTAGTAGCAGTAGCAGTAGTAGTAGTAGTAGTAGTACAAGAAGTAGTAGTAGTGATAGTAGAAGTAGTAGTACTAATAGTAGTAGTAGCAGTAGTAGTCGTAGTAGTAGTAGTAGTAGTAGTAGTAATAGTAGTAGTAGTGGTAGTAGTAGTAGTAGTAGTATAGTGCGTAGTAGTACGTAGTAGTACGTAGTACGTAGTACGTGTAGCAGTAGTAGTAGTAGTAGTAGTAGTAGTAGTAGTATAGTAGTAGTAGTGGTAGTGGTAGCTAGTGGTAGTGGTAGTAGTCGTAGTAGTAGTAGTACGTAGTACGTAGTAGTAGTAGTAGTAGTAGTAGTAGTAGTATTCATTCATGAGCGTCGCACTGTCCGAGTGCATGACGAAGGAGGTCAGACCTTCTGGTCCGGCTGCTCTGTGGCAGCTGTGCGATTTCACACAACCTTTAAGCAGAGGCTACTTCCTAATCATATTTCATATTTCCATCTCGACTTCGGCTGCTCAGTCCATCTCCGAAAGATCACCGGAAAAACGACCATTCACTTGCCTGCCTCCCTCAGCAGCAGCAGGATTGCCATCACGAGAGCTGGCCTCGCCCTCCGAGCTTGAGCTAACAATCTCGACGACGGTGCAGGTATTGCCCGAAACCGTCGTTGTGGTGTACGTTCGCGCTCCTGAGGCGTTCCCACCAGAGGCAGTCTCACCGGTGGCAACAGCAGCATGTGTGTTCCAGCCAGTGCTTGTAGCCCCAGCAGGGCCCTCGTTGTAAGCAGGAGCCGCGGTTGCTCGGGAGTATTCTTGCTGACGCACAGTACAGCTGAAAGTGTGAGCGCTTCCTTGGCTAGGCCTGCATGTAGAGCAACATGTGGAGTGTGCAAGCCCTGCATGCCTCCCACACCCTGGTTGCTCACAGCGGGTGACCGCAGTCCTCTGCAACCGGCGTTGTTGTGCATTGCATCTGCGCGAGTGAAAACCATACGGACAAGTAGAGCAGCAGTGTCGGTGGTTGAGCTCTTGAAAGAACCTGCCACACCCTGGAGTGCGACAATGCCGCCCTCGCTGAGGAGTGAGCGCTGGAGGCACAGGATGCCCAGGGCCCGAACGATCTCCACCCTGCCCAGCTCCCATATGGGTTCCTTCCCATGAGGATGAAGCAGCTGCCATGAAGACCTGAGCAGAGCAGACGAGCGCCACATGCTGTATGCTGTAGTCATGCAACAAGCAGTGGTGCAAGTGATCTGCATCACAACAGGCCGATTTTGTGCTCCGGCGTTATGCGGCTTCGCGCAATGCTTGTGTATTGCAGGAACAGTCTGCCCGAGGTTCAAGGTGCGCAGCTACGTGCAAACGAGCTGCACTTAAGACATAGCATGGGTGGGGATTAAGGGGCACAGGGGGAAATGAGTACAGGTGGCAGCAAGGCCGGCTCAGCTCGCTCAGTCTGCGGTCTATCAGGGAGATAGAAGCCAAGCTCTTCCAGTTGGGAACACGCTTCCTGCCGCAGTCT